TGCATTTTCTAATTCCGTGAATTAATTAACCTAAACATCTTTTAAATCCTAGTCATTCATCCATATCTTGAGAGCGAATACCTATTAGACTATTTGTGTATTAGTATGTTAAGTATGATGAAGCCAATTTTGCAAACTGCTAAACCCTCTATTGGTACGAGGGCCTCTCAAGACAGTCGGCCAGGCAGAGATTCGGTATTAATTATAAGAAACTAACCATCTCTCTGTCATGGCTTTAAATTTCAATCTGAGCTGATCGTTCAATACGTACAGAGATCACGGTCTAAGATTGGGAGATGGTTTTTGACCTGCAACAGTGTCGTACTGTGCAAAGTTGAAGAACGATCCAATTGAGACGGTGCTGCATACAAAACATTAGGTGGTGATTTGAATATTGAATAGCAACGGAGGAATAAGACAGTTTGGCATTAGATAGGTGGTTAAATGATTCATGGTTATGGGCACGAAATACATCATATGTTAAAACAGTTTATTGCCAACGCGTTTCGCCTCATCGACCGTAGCGTCATCAGGGCAAGATCTCAGAAGACACAACCGTTCAGAGCAACAATTCATACTCCTCTACCTCATGCAAACCCGGGAATTAACCGGGTTTACTGTAATTGTTGTATCATGCTGAAATCAGGGTAAGCCGTAATAAAACTACTGTCATACGTGATGTACAGCTGAGGCGACTATGTCCATGAAGACCAGACCGTGGAGCACATATTTTCGAATGTCCGCTAAGTATCTATGACTGACGTCCAGGACTCAGATCCAGAACACCCGATGTCTCAGAAATGTCGATATTTCGATTTATCTCTGTTAGTCGCCTCTGATCATGCAACTGAAGAAGAAGTCTGGGACTTGCTACAATAAAAAGCGCGAGGTCAGCCTTGGGACCATCGTGGTTTGTTGGGTGCCCCTGTCGACTCTGCCTGTCTGGGTCAAGGGAGAAGAGAGTGCAGTTAAACGATTCAGCTGAGCAGTTGGCACGCTATGATGCTCCTTCGCTTTTTGCATATCGAAAACACCTGCGACCATGTGTCAGCCGGCAAATATACTTGGATCACTAGCCATCTTCCCGCTTCAACGCGTTTCTGCCAGAGTTTATTCATGGCAACTTAGCCGTTGTGATCTTCATTCCTTATCCCCGATACGGGGGGGGCATAACCGGTAGTTACGTAAGCAATTTTCAGCCATTGTTTTCTCGACACCGTCACACGACTCACGTGATCAGCGCAATTCCTAGAAATGGTTCAGGTTCATTGGAATGTGCATCGGTACTCGGAGTTTTCAAGTAGCGCGTGAACAACGGGATGCGTTTCGTCCAGAATCGAGGCGGTTGACTGTTCAGGTTTGTCGAGGAAACTTTTGGCCATCAAGCAAACCAGTCCCCCCCCCCCGGTGAGAAAACGAAATTACGACAGAGACAGAGTT